GGGGGGAGCCGGGGAGGGCGACAGCTGAGAGTACCAGAGGAGAAAGGGGAGAGCCAAGACCAGAACCACATTTTGGAAGGGTTTGCCTTCCTGCAGAGAGGAAAGGTCAGAGGTGAGAGAAGCTGGAAGACCACGTGGGAGGCTCTTACCGTTGTTCTAGCAAGAGCTGGCAGTGGTTTGGGCCACTTAGAGAGCAACAAGGTCAGCCAGCAGAACTTGAAGGTCAATTGGTGTGGAATGCTGGGGTGTGGAGGGGTCAGGGTGACCACAGGATCCAGCCAAGGTCCAGCAAGAGGTCTTAGACCTGGAACTGGGTTCTGAGTCAACTGAGTACATGATCCAAACAGTCCAGTGGCTTCTGCCAGCCCTCTGGGTCAGCCTTGTGCCCAGAGCTGGGAGGGAAGGCTCAGCCTTCTGGACTCTGCTTCCTCCTGGAAGATGATGGAAGAAGCCAGAAACCATAAGCTTGGCAGGCCCCACACAAACTATCCCTTTTTCCCAGGGTGCCACCACCTCCCTCCCACATCCCAGTGGCCCCAGGACTGGCCAGGGCCCTCCATCCTCAGGCCCCTGCCTTGGGCCAGGTCTTTTCTCTCCAGGATCAGGGGAAGGTCAACCCCCTACACTAACCACCACCCTCAAGGCAGACACTGCCCATGAAATAAAGGCCAGCCTAGCAGCTGACACCTTGCCTTCAGCCCCCCTCTCCTGGAACCCGGCCTTCCCCTATCTAACCTTGCCTCTCCCCGAATTAAAAACCTCCATGCTTCTCCTACCCCGTATCACCGAGTGCAAACTTCTAAACCCTGCGTTCCAGGCTCCTCCCGGTCTGTCCCCCACCCCTGCCCTCATCCCACGGTTCTGTCCCCCTGTCTTCTCCACGGCAGCCACCACCGGCAGCGAGTGGCTGCAGCCTGGGCACCAGTCTCCCCGCGGCCGTCCTGGGGCCTGCCCCCCGCAACCCTCCCAGCGGCCGGCTGGCGCCTCTCGTCGTCTAGACCGAGCCCGGCCGCCTCCGCCCCGCGCTCAGATCCGCGGCCAGCGCCGGAAGCGGC